ATCTGGAATGGATATATTTGAATTATATAAAGATCAATTAAAAAATAAATTTAAAAATCACAATCAAAGTACTGTTGACACTGTATTAATTGATGCCACTTCAGGAAATACCACTGGTTTTGGTATTGCACTTCAGTGGTATGAAAAAGAAAAATGTAATCAAATATTAATTGATTTTATACAAACTCCTGATTGTACTGGTGCCACCTATGCCCAATCAGTATTTAATTCAATTATCGAAAGATGTGGTGATGAAGTTTTATCAAGAGTTGCCCATTCAATGGGTGATAATGCAAATGTGAATACATGTTTTGCTAGAGAATTTAAAATTTTATTAAATGATCGATTTGGAGGAAAAAGTTTATACATGGAAGAAAACCATGTTGGTTGTTTGGCCCATATATTAAATTTGGTGGTAAAAGAGATAACCTCATCTCTTGAACTTGTTGATGAAAACAATAGTGAAGATCCAAATTTATTTTATATAATTTTTAAAAGATTTATGACAAAATTAAAAATTAAACAAATTGAAAACCAATTTAATTCAACTTGTGTTAATAATAATATAAAATTTCAAAAAATGTCACATTTTGATAACGATCAAAGGTTCAATGCTTTTTATACAAATTTAGTAAAAATTCAATCAATGGAAGAAGCAATCCTCGATGTCAATTTTTCAAATTATTTTAATGGTTTAAAATATGGGGCAAAATTATTATCCAAATAAACATCATTTTTTTCAATTGAAATTATTTTTAGAGATATATGAATTGTTTTATAATTGCACGTTAGCTCAATCATGTTTTCAAGCAAATATTTCCACTGCTTGGGTTCAAATTAATATGATTTTTGATAAATTCGATTTATTAAAACAACGATTGAAAGGTCATGATCTATTAATTCATATAGAAAAAGGTATTGCTGTATTATCGAAATATTATTCTAAAATGGATGACAAAGTTAGAAATGAAAAATTTTACAATTCATATTTAATAGATCCATTTTATAAAGGTTTAATGTTTAAACATCCAACTTGGAATCAAGGTTGGAAGACAGCAATAGATACTTTAAATCAACATTTTTCAAGGTTACCAGTTAGCTATATTGAAAATCACCTTAGATCATTAAATCTTAGTCAATCTTTGTATCAAAATCAAAATCAAAATCAAAATCAAAATCAAAATATTAGTAGTAATAATAATTATTCAAATAATGGCTTTTTTAACTACTCCAATGATTTAAATAATAATGATGATGATGATAATAATAATAATAATAATAATAATAATAATAATAATAATAATAATAATAATAATAATGATAAAAAAAATAGTTCAATATTATTATATTTAGATAAACAACATATTTCCAGCAACTTGGATAAAAAAAAATCAAATAAAAGCCAAAAAGAATCAAAAATGGAATATTACTCAAGATTGTTCAATTCAGAGTTGGATGAATTTTTAAATAGAGATAGATTATCACGTGAAGATAATATAAAATCTTTTTGGTCGGTAAACAAATATATTTTTCCAATCATATATCTATATCAATATATTTATATGAGTATACCTGCCTCAAATATCACCTTAGAAAGATATTTTTCAGATTTGCCAGATATCAAAACTAAAAATCGAAGTGCTCTAAAGTTTGAAACTATCCAAGCATTACTGTTGGTACGAAATTGGTTTAATTATGGTAATTTCCATCATTCAACAATTACCACTATATTAAACCATTTGATGGATAATGATATTTAATTGTTAATCATTTTTATTATAAAAAATAAATAAAAAAAAATAAAATTTTAATTTAATTGTATTTTATTGTTTTTTTATTTCATTGTTTTTTATTTAATTTAATTTTTATTATATTTTATTTATTTTTAATTTTGATTTTAGATTTTAGATTTTAGATTTTAGATTTTTTATTTTAAAAATATTATTTTTTATTTTTTATTTTTTATTTTTTATTTTTTTTTTATTTAAGATTTAGGATTAAAAATTTAAAAAATTTGAAATAATCTAAACTATTTATTATAGTTATTATAAAAATATAATTATAAAAAAAAAAAAATAATAAAAAAAAATAAAAAATAAAAAAAAATATTTTTAAAATATAAAATTTTTTATTTTAGATTTATAGTTTAAAAAATATGAAATAATCTAAATTATTTATTATAGTTATTATAAAAATAAAATATTATAATTATTATTACAAAAAAATTATTTTTTTTATGTATTTGTTATATATAAATTATTTTCCAATATTATTTTTAAAAACCTAGGTTAATATGGGTAGTTATAGTTAAAAACAAATTAATTATCCATGGATCAAACCCCATGGGTTAGGGCATTAATACCTACAGCTAATTACCTGTGAGATCGCAGTTAATACCCATTTCGAGCTTTAGTATTATTAGTTTATAATAAAAAATTTAAAACTTACATTTTAGTGTTTTTAAATCTAAAGGAATGTCAAGTACTTCTAAATAACTGTTTGTTAGATCTTTGATTGAGTCGAGATTATTTTCTTGAATTATTAATTGAGTATCTTTATATTCTGGTAAGTTTTTATTATTTATATTTGATAAAAGATTGTTACATTGATGATTGTGTTTTAAAAGTTTAATAAATTCATTATCAATACAGTATTTTCAAGATTGTTTTGACCGGGTATGATCAATAATTTTAATTCTTGTGTAAATCCTGTATTTTTAATTTTTATTTTATCAATAAAAGGCAAATATATATAAAAAATAATGTATTTTTTAAAATACTGTCTTTTTATTTTTTATATTTTTTTTTATTTTTTTTTTTATTTTTTTTTTATTTTCTTTATAAAAAAAAATAGGTCAAATCTTTACTGAATTGGATTCAGGTGATCAACAATTAAAGGTATTTTGATAAATTATGCATTAAATGATCCTATTCAACTCAAAAAATATCCAGAGAGTAAAATAAGTATGAAAGATTAAATTGAATTGGTTAAAAAAAATTTATTATCAAACGAGATATATCATAATATTCTACAAATTAAACGATATCTTCTGAAGAATTATAATAAATAAATTTTAAATAACACAATAATAAGTTCACTCCATTGCCAAGTTATTACATTTTGAAGTTTGAAATATAAGCCTTATCGCACAAAAAAAGTAAAGAGGTAAAGATATCAATGGGCCATACAATTTAGTGACTCACAGTGGAATTTTGGAAAAGGGTAGTTTTTGCAGATGAAACTTGATTTGAACTATATTTTTATTAATTGGAAATTAAAAAATAGATTTAAGGTTAAAGATAACATTCAAATAATATTCTATCAAGAAAGAGACCAACTGGAGTTTCTGTGAATACATGTTAATTTTCTTCTATGAGAGGTGCAGGTTCGATACAATTTTTTTTATATTAATACAAATAGATGACATATTTTATGGTACTGATTGATAAGTATGGTCCCAAGCTTGGCGAATATTGCTTTAATGTTTAAGATATTAATGATTTACAAGATAACTTTCCAATTAATAGTTTAGAAATTTTTCAAAATTTTTACAAAATAAATAGAATTGATGTCATATTGATCCCAAAATACTCTATAGACCTCATAATTATTGAAAATTTATTGTGAGTGTTAAAATACGTTTGATTCATAAGATTATAGGGTATTCTCAAGTGGATTTTAAAGATTTATTTGAGAAAAATATGTATAGTAATTAACAAGAAAATATTATTAATTTATATCAACCAATCCCAAAAAAAATTAAAGAAATAATTTTAAATAGAGGTGTTTTAACAAAATATTGAAAATTTTAAATATTTTATAAATAAAAAAAATTTTATATTTTTATTTTATCAACAACTATCTTTTTTTTTATTTTATAATTCAATATCTTGAATTTTAAGCAATCTGATTATTTTTATTTTGTTATTTCTGATAAATCATATTTGTAGTAATTATTTATTTGTATGTATGTAAAGGTTTTTACACTTTATTAACCATCGTACGTATTGAATTTCGTTCATTGTACAATTGGATCTGCTCCTTCTGATCTCATGAGTTTTTGAACGAAATGATTGAAGTGTCTCCCAAGATCACAGGCCAATCTCACTACTTTGTTGATTTTCTTTTGCTCTTAAACCCCGATTTCCCGTTTCCTGAATCCTTATTATTGCTACTGTAACCATTATTATTCTTTATCTTCAGGAATAATAAAATTATTTTCATCTAATTTGGGAAAACACCCTTTAAAATCATATTTAATTACCTCTTTCTTTTCTTCATTATCTCTTATTTGAGGTTCTTGAAAAACTTTTTTTGTTGGTTTAGTCGAGACCGATGTTAATTTTGTTATTGTTGTTTTTGATCGTATTGATCTTTTAATTTTTGATTCCATTTCTTTATTTCATAACAAAATAAATAATAAAAATCAATTTATTTGTAAAGATAAAAAAAATTAAAAAAATAAAATTAAAAAAAAAAATAATTTTCCTTTGAATTTATAAAAACATTTTTTTCCTTTTTATAAATTTTAAATTACAGAGAATTTAAAAATAAACAGAAGAGAGTTTTGTTGTGGATAAAAAAATTTTAAAAATTAATATCCAATGGATAAAAAATTCCAGGTGATACAAAAAAAAAAATAAACAATGATAATTTTTGAACTCTTCTTTTTTATGTTTAAAATTATAAAGAATAAATATTTTGTTTTATGTTTGAAATGCCAGCATCTAAATAATAGAAATTATAATCAAAATATAAGAACAGTGAATGATTGGAATTGTGCCAGCACAATTGATATTTGATGTTATATAAATACAACCATTCTATGGTGGGTGGTATAAAATTAAGTGATTGATCAAAAAATAAAACCCATTTTAAAATAAAAATTTATTCTAATAAATCTTAAAAATTGTTTTCTTTTTTATGTTTAAATATAATTTTTACAAACAAAAAATATAATTTTATAGATAGAGATTATTTCTTTTAAATATTATTTTATTTTATTTAGATTTTAGATGTTTGTAAGTGGATAAATAAGAAATTTTTTGCTTGGGGTTTGAAATGGAGTCATTGTCTAAAGGATAGTCCACATCGCCTATTTGAATATAAGTTATAGAGTCAGGGATAATACCTTTTGTAATACGTTGAGAAAAACCATGACCAAATATAAGAAAAGTTAAATGATTTGGAATTGAGCCAGGTTTTAATTGATACTTGATGTTATGTAAATTCAACCTTTGTACGGTGGGTGGTATAAAATCAAGTGGTTGGTCAAAGCCATCAAGTAAATATAAATGTGTAACTGTTGCTGGAATTGAATCAGGTGTTAATTGATACTTGATGTTATGTAAATACAAGTATTGTACGGTGGGTGGTATAAAATTAAGTGGTTGATTAAAGCCATCAAGTAAATATAAATGTGTAACTGTTGCTGGAATTGAATCAGGTGTTAATTGATACTTGATGTTTTGTAAATACAAGTATTGTACGGTGGGTGGTATAAAATTAAGTGGTTGATCAAAGCCATCAAGTAATAATAAATGTGTAACTGTTGCTGGAATAGTTTTGGGTAAACATTCGATAGGTCCAATAGCAAGATTTATAATTTCTAAATGACTAATATCACACCCTTCTTGGTAAATTGTAAATTCTTTATTATAAACTTTATTAAAAGGAATTAATTCAAGTATTATTAGTTTAAAAATAAAAATTTTAAAACTTACATTTTAGTGTTTTTAAATCTAAAGGAATATCAATTACTTCTAAATAGCTGTTTATTAGATCTTTGATTGAGTCAAGATTATTTTCTTGAATTATTAATTGAGTATCTTTATATTCTGGTAAGCTATTATTATTTATATTTGATAAAAGATTGTTACATTGATGATTGTGTTTTAAAAGTTTAATAAATTCATTATTATTATTATTAACATCATCATCATTATTATTAACATCATCATTATTATTATTAATATCATTATTAAATTTAATAGCATTATTAATTATATTATTATTTTTTTCTATTATTGTTGTTATTATATTATTTATATCTGTATTTTTATTTAATTTAGTTGTTAATAATAATTTGACATCAATTTCTTTTGCATTGATAATATTTAAAAAAAAATCTCTTAACTCCTTAAATATTTTAAAAGCTTTTTCAAAATTCTTTGTATGGTTATCATTAATTTGTTTAAAGTGGTTGTTTGATTCTTCCAATATTTTTTTATTATTTTCTAAATAGTTGTTTAGTTTTGGTATTGTTTGATCATTAAATTCTTGTTGTATTTGATTTCTTAAATGTATATCATTTAATTTTTTGAATGTATGGCCACGGTGACCATCGTTAATACAATCAATACAGACAGGAATATAGTTTGGACAATTTGAGCATATAAAAACAATATCTTGATATGGATGATTAAAGCATTTATTATCATATTGTTGATTATTGGACATTATTTATTTTCAGGATTTAATTTTAGTTTTTTAGAATTATAAATTTAATAAATTGTATTTTATTATATATTTATAATTTATAATTTGGATAAAAAATTTAAAATAAAAAAAAATAAAAAAATTTAAAAAAATAAAAAAATTTGAAAAAATAAAAAAATTAAAATTTTTTTTTTTACAAATTAAGAGACTTAAGTTTATAAAAATTGTGGACTTAATTTTTTTTTTTTGCAAAAAATAATTTTATTTTTTTTAAATTTTTTTTAAAATAATTAAAATTTTATCCACAACACAAAATATTTATGTTTGTAAAAAAATATATTTAAATTCTTGAAACAAATAATGACAAATAATCAACAATATGATACCAAATGCTTTGATCATCCCCATCAAGATATTATTTTTATATGTTTAACTTGTCCAAACAACATTCCTGTCTGTATTGATTGTATTGCCAATATTCATAATGGCCATAACTTTAAAAAATTAAATGATATAAATTTAAGAAATCAAATACAAAATGAATATAATAATCAAACAATACCAAAGCTAAACAAATATTTAGAAAATAATAAAAAAATATTGGACGAATCAAACAATAACTTTAAACAAATTAAAGAAAACCATGCAATGGATTTTGATAAAATTTTTAATATATTCAAGGAATTAAAATATATTATCAATGCAAAAGAAAATGATATCAAAAGATTATTAACAACTAAATTAAACGAAAATACAGATGTAAATAATATAATAACAACAACAATAGAAAACAATAATAATAAAATTAATAATGCCATTAAATATAATAATGATATTAATTATAATAATGATGTTAATAATAATAATAATATTGATAATGAATTTATTAAACTTTTAAAACACACTCATCAATGTAACAATCTTTTATCAAATATAAATAATAACTTACCAGAATATAAAAAAACTCAACTAATAATTCAAGAAAATAATCTTGACTCAATCAAAGATCTAACAAACAGCTATTTAGAAGTAATTGATATTCCTTTAGATTTAAAAACACTAAAATGTAAGTTTTAAATTTTTTATTTTTATACTAATAATACTTAAATTAATTCCTTTTTATAAAGTTTTAGATTTTGAATTTACAATTTACCAAGAGGGGTATGATATCAGTCATTTAGAAATTATAAATCTTGCTATTGGACCTATCGAATGTTTACCCAAAACTATTCCAGCAACAGTTACACGTTTATATTTACAAGATGGCTTTAATCAACCACTTAATTTTATACCACCCACCGTACAAACGTTGTTTTTAGGAAACATCAAGTATCAACTAACACCTGATTCAATTCCAGCAACAGTTAAACATTTATCTTTACGAGATGGCTTTAATCAACCACTTAATTTTATACCACCCACCGTACAAACGTTGTTTTTAGGAAACATCAAGTATCAACTAACACCTGATTCAATTCCAGCAACAGCTACACATTTAATATTACTTGATGGCTTTAATCAACCACTTAATTTTATACCACCCACCGTACAACACTTGTATTTACAAAACATCAAGTATCAATTAACACCTGATTCAATTCCAGCAACAGTTACAGATTTATATTTACTTGATGGCTTTAATCAACCACTTGATTTTATACCACCCACCGTACAAAGGTTGTATTTATATAACATCAAGTATCAATTAATACCTGGTTCAATTCCAAATCATTTAACTTTTCTTATTTTTGATTATGGTTTTTCTCAACATTTTACAAAAGGAATTATCCCTGACTCTACAACTTCTATTCAAATGGGCGATGTGGTCTATCCTTTAGAACATGACTCCATTTCAAACCCCAATCAAAAAATTTCTTATTTACCCAATTACAAACATTTAAAATTAAATTAAAATAATATTTAAAAGAAATAATCTCTATAAAATTATATTTTTTGTTTGCAAAAATTATATTTAAACATAAAAAAAAAACATTTTTTAAGTTTTATTACAATAAATTTTTATTTTTTAATTAATCACTTAATTTTATACCACCCACCATAGAATGGTTGTATTTATATAACATCAAATATCAATTAATACTTGGTACGATTCCAAATCATTAAACTACTCTTATATTTTAATTATAATTTCTATCATTTAGATCCTGGCTCCATTTCAAAACCAAACAAAATATTAACTATTCTCTCAACAACAAACATCTAAAAATAAATTAAATAAAATAATATTAAAAGAAATCTAATCTCTATCTATAAAAATATAATTATTACAAACAAAAAATATAATTTTAAACATAAAAAGAATAGTTAAAAAATTATCATCGTTTATTTTTGTTTTTTGTATCACCTGGAATTTTTTATCCTTTGAATGTTAATTTTTAAATAAACCACAATAAAACCATCTTTTATTTATTGTTAAATTCTCTGGAATTTTTTAAAATCTTTTTCATAAAATTAATTTAAAATTTATAAAAACGAAAAAAACGGTTTTATAAATTCAAAGAAATTTTTTTTTTATTTTAATTTTATTTTAATTTTTTTTTAATTTTTTTTTTTTTTTTTTTTTTAAAATAAATAAATTGATTTTTATTATTTATTAATTTGTTATGAAATAAAGAAATGGAAACAAAAATTAAAAGACCAATACGATCAAAAACAACAACAACAAAATTAACATCGGTCTCGACTAAACCAACAAGAGAAGTTTTTCAAGAACCTCAATTAAGAGATAATGAAGAAAAGAAAGAGGTAATTAAATATGATTTTAAAGGGTGTTTTCCCAAATTAGATGAAAATAATTTTATTATTCCTGAAGATACAATCCTCTCACAAAAGGATATTAATATCCTAAAGGAATTACCTCTTCCAGAATGGTTTGATGTTAAAGTACCAAGTTTTAATTACCCAATAGGTTCTACGCCATCCAAAAATTGTAAAAATATTGAAAAGGATTTACGCATCATTAACCATCGTGCTAATGATATATTTAAACCTTTAACTGCAATAGCAGAGTTGTTGGATAGTGAAGGTGACACAATCAGTAAAGAGGATTTAAAAAACCACTTTGTTAATTTGGTTGCTATTACTTCAAACGCTGTTGGAACTATTTCCCGTGCAAGAACTAATAATTTAGCAATAACAAATGAACCATTAATAAAGAAATCATCTGGTGGTTTAATTAGTGAAGAATTTGAAAAAAAACTTCGAGAAATGGTCGAATATTCAAAGATAAACAAAGAAATTCAAGATGGAACCTATGCTTCAAAATCCAACAATTTCAAGAAAAGACAAAATAGTCGAAAGAATAATAATGGTTACAGTAGCAATAATAATGGCAATAATAAGGATTCAGGAAACGGGAAGTCGGGGTTTTAGAGCAAAAGAAAATCCACAAAGTAGTGAGATTGGCCTGTGATCTTGGGAGACACTTCAATCATTTCGTTCAAAAACTCATGTGCGATTAGAAGGAGCAGGTCCAATTGTATAATGAACGAAATTCCCTTATTACAGTTAATCTAAACAAATCATTAACGATGGTTAATAAAGTGTAAAAACCTTTTCAAACAAACAAATAAATAATTACTACAAATATGATTTATCAGAAATAACAAAATAAAAATTATCAAATTGCTTAAAATTCAAGATATTGTTTTAAATATTGAATTATAAAATAAAAAAAAAGATAAAATAAAAATATAAAAATGATAATTACCATTTGAAAAAGTTTGTGGTGGTAAAACGGTATTGAGCTTCTGTTTTTTCTCGAATGTTTATGAAGTGTATTTTGTTTTAGATGATTAATCAAAAAATGATTGGTATTGTCATTGTTTTTTTTTTTTTAAATTTTATTAACTTTTTATTGTTATTGGTTGTAAAAAAATCAACAGTGGCAAAAATATTAGAAAGAGTGGAGACAAAAAAGGTACAATTCAATGACCCGTAAACGTCCTGGGAGAAAAAAATAAAAAATAGAGGTTTTACCCAATAATTAATAGTATAAATAAAATGACAATATATTGTTTTTTTTAAATAAAAATATAATAGAAAAAATAATAATTCCAATTGTTTTTATTTCTTAATCACTATATAAAATAAAAATATAATATAATATTAAATTTTAAATAAAAAACCTCAGGAATTATAATCAAAAGCTTAAGATATGATATTTTTTAATTTTGCGAACTTATGTTTTTTTAACCCTTAAAATGCCGAGGATGTATGGTTGCCAAAAAAAAAAAAAATTTTAATTTTTTATTATGAATTAATTTAAAAAAAATAAAAAAAAATTAAATTTTCTTTTTTTTTTTATTTAATAAATTTTTTTAAAATTTTTATTTATTTTATTACACATTCAAATGGATACTTCAAATACAAATAATAACAATAACAATAACAATAGCAATAACAATAATAATAGTGAAAATGATAAACCCACAGAAAAATAACCGCTCGCCCAACTATCCAAGAGTTATTCTAAATGACTACATTACACAATTGTATTTAAGAAATAGCGAGGAGAAATTCAGTTTCAGAGATTTTATTTCATTTAATTAATAACCAATTATCAACCAAAACATCAAGTACTAGAAAAACATCAAGAAATACAGTAATAATTCCAAAGCTCATTAATGTATATACAATTGATGAAAATAGAAAAGAAAGAGGTGCTTGTTTTGTGTAGTAATAGTCCAGTTCAAGGTGTAAACTATAAAGGAAATTCATATATTAGATCTCAATGTGAATGTCATAGTGTGTTCCTCCATGAAGTTTGTAATATTGCATTTCATAACCCAGATTTCAAAATTGCCCAAACTTTATTATTTATACAATTTATTATTTATTAATTGTATAAATAATAAATAAAATAAAAATAAAAACAATAATAATAATAATAATAATAATAATAGTGAGTTAACTGTAAAATTTTAAATAAACTTTAAAATAAATATATTTTTATAAATATATTTATTTATTTAAACTCAAAAAAAAAAATATTATTTTTTATTTATTTATTTTCACGAAAAAACCAAGGGTTAAATAATTAACATTTGTAATAATCGTCAAATATTAAGATTCAAAGATAAAGACAAATAAAATATTATTCTCAATATTATTACTGGGTGTAAAATTATTAGAGATTAAAAATTATCGTAATTCTCAGTTTTCACTAATTATCGTTAGGGTATTCATTTTAGAAAAAATTATCTCTTTTTTAAAAAAAATTATTATTCATTTTTATCCATTTTTAAAATTTGCAAATTGATGTATAACAGCACAAACAAAACATCATAATTTCTTTTTTTCGCACTTCTTTTAATTTTTTTTATTTTTTTTTTTGAAAATGGATTATTTGTTATAAATTCATTACTAATTCACAAAGAAACCAACAGCATTTAATTGGAAAGATTTTACTGCTACAGGCCCGAAGCCTTTAAATAGACCTTTAACGCCGTCTCTATGCACAATTTTTTTTAAACAATCAAAAACACCTTTATAATGACCAATTCTATCAGTTTGGATTAAAGTTTTAGAAATATCGAAATGATGGGTGGCTAAAAAATATAATAAAAATTTCTAAATTAGAATTATTATACATTTGAATCCAAATGATTAATATATACATAACCACCATGATACATTACACCTGCAGTACCACCACATAATAAAATTGGTAGCTGATGTGATATTTAGAATTAATAAATTAAATAATATTATTAGCTAATAAAATAATAATACGATATTTACAGATTGGGGATGTTCACCTTTTAATCCTATTTTTTTTTTTAGAAGTTTCATAAGTCGAAAAAAATATGGCTAAACCAGGTACATCTCTTAATAAAGTTGGGGTTAAACCTTGATAGAATCCTCTTTCTTTGAAAATTTGTTTTGCAAAATAAATATTGCCTCTTCCTTTCGATAATTTATGGTAACCAGCGCCTTCCATCTAATTATAATAATAATAAAATTATAATTATTAACAACTATATTGCTATTTTATTGTTTATTATTATTACTATTGTTACTAAATTTATATTACCTGCATTTGAATTTTAATTAAATCGACAGGGCATGCTATAAATGATTGAACAAAACCAGCAAAAGAACCAACCATTAATAAATTTAAATAATCATTATCTCTGTTATAGTTGTTTTTTTTTTAAAAAATGCCAAGTATCCTCAAAAGTACCAAATTGAATTGCAGAAATTGCAGCAGAAAAGAATAATGGGGACAATAACCCTTTAAACAATCCCACTACACCCTCTTTATCTATTACTTCTCTAAATATTTTTCTTACGCTTAGATTGGGTGAATCTGATAGCTGTATTCTAGTTTTAGCTTTGTAAATACCTTTTACATCTTATACATTTTCTTCAGGATCTTTATTTTTATTATTTATATCATTGTTTGTTTTTATGCTATTATTACTACTACCACTATTATTACTATTGTTACTATTTCTGTTATGATTGGTTTTGTGAATATGAAATTTAAAATATTAAAAAATTTTCGAAATTAAATGTTATTTTTTTTTTTTAAATTTTTTATTTTTTTTTTTAAATTTTTTATTTTTTTTTCAAATTAAATTAAAACAATTTATTATGTGTTAAATTTAATTACACCGCATCAATGAAATATTTTATAATTTAAACTTTGTAATAATTATATATTTTATTTTTTAAAATAAATATTGTATTTTAAATTGTTAAATATGAATCATAGTAATAATACTAAAAATAGTAATAGTAATAATAGTAATAGTAATAATAGTGATAATAATAAAAATAATAATATTATAAATATTAATAATAATAATAATAATAATAGTAATAATGATAGGTTACATAATTTATATAAAAGGATATTTAATAACATTGTAATAAAAAAAAATATATCTAGATATTTAAAATTAAATAATGACTGGAGATTTAAATGTATATCATATTCATCAATACAGAATGGAACATCATTATCACTATCTCAAATAAAATTTGATACCACATTTAAACATTTAATAGTTATAACCGATTTCAAAAATATAAAAGAATTCAATTTGTGTTTATATTTATTAAAATCAAATATATTGTGTAATAATTCAACTACTTCTGGTAGTGGCAGTAACAATTTTACAAGCTTAAGATTTATAAAAGATAGCAACTTTAATAACAATGATAACAATAGTAATAATAACAATAACAATAATAATAACAATAATAATAATAATAATATTAGTAATAATAGTAAAAAAAAAAAAAACAAAATTAAAATTAAAATTCAAGAATTTCAAATCCCAGCTACAATAAAAGAACTGGCTTTTGGGGACTCTATAAAACTAGAAGTTGAAACAAAAAAAGCGTCAGTGCCACTATTTAATAATTTGACCGTGTTGGAACTTGGTAAAAAAAATGAAGCAGTACTGCTAAATGGTTACCTATCAATGGCAAATAATTTGAAGCAACTAGTTATAAATCACAATCTTTCCAAACCACTCAAAAAAGAAATGTTCCCAATTCAGTTAGAATCATTAACAATGAAATCAAAATATTTATTTAGTACAATTTATCTTCCAGATCAACTAAAGGAACTCTCTTTTATTGGCAAACCCTCTTCGCCTATAGATATGAGCAGTGCAATTTTAGATTCTATTCCAAAAAATTTAACATCACTTAGAATAGAGTACTGCTTTAATACTGAAATAATAACAAAACCAAGTATAATGAACTCGCTTCATAAACTAAATATCATTTACAACAACATAGATAGTGAGAGACACTTTCTTTATTACTATACAAATATTTTACCAAACTCCAAACTATTAAAGTCATTAGAAATATCAACATTCATAAATAATTACTATATATTTGTAAACCCTGATTTACTTCCGCCCACCCTAAATTCATTAAAACTGCCATTTCATTTTTCAACTTCTCCCATTTTACAATCAAATTCAGAAACGGAATCAATATTATCAATAAACCCAATGAATGATAACACCACAACAACAGTATTAAAAGGATACCCAGGCTCAATTACCAGCTTTAAAGGCACATTACAACAACTGACATCAACAAAATTTGAAAATCTATTAAACATAACCTCATTAAATTTATTATTACTATCATTCATCAGCTTACCCAATACAGCAACCAACAACAACTTTGAACAAAACTTTAGTAAACTTTCAAATTTGGATTCACTCATTCTTAATTTACACGAGCTAACTCTAATATCAACCATACCAGAAACAATAAGATCAACAATTAACAATTTAGAGCTTTATCGATTCCATCCAACTGAAACTGACGATTTAGATTCTCAAATTTCTCAATTTTACTCAAATCTCAAGCTAAAAGAATCTTTTTCAAAACTAAAATATCTAAAGATTGATGAAAACTTTACATTTATATTTATGAGCCATTATAAAAAAGAAAAAGAAAAAGATAAAAGTAATCCAATTGCAGATGGAGCCGTAAATTTATTTCCCTCAACTCTGCTATTATTAGACTTAACATTCGGTGGAACATCAGCAGTAGAAGCAAATGAAAAGATTATTTTAAACAAATCATTTTTTCCACCAGGTATCAAAATTTTAGTTATTAGAGGTACTCACAAATCAGTAATAGAGAAATTACCAAATTCCATAGAGTTTATTTTTATTCAAGACACAAATCCATTACTAAACGATAGATTATTTATTGACGATTATTCATCTATAGTCAGAACTTTTAATCAAGCAGATGAAAAAATATTATACAATAATTTAAAAACTCAACTAAATGAATTTTATTTATAAATAAATAATAATTAAATAAACTTTTTTTTTTTATAAACTTATAGTTATAAATAAATATAATTTATTAAATCTAGATTTACTTTGTTGCTATTTAATTTTTTTACTTTATGATTTTAGACTCGGAATATAATCTAGATTACATATTACATATATTAGGAAGATCTATTTTTTATAACAATTATATTAATTTAGTAAAAAATATTACTAATTAATATTTATCCTCTTTTTTTGTAAATAACAATATATAAAGATAAAAATCAGATAAACAATCTATTAGATCTCTGAAAAGTTTTTAATTTTTTTAAAAAATATTACCACAAAAAAAACTATTTAAAGGAAAATTATAAAATTTATTTTTTATTAAATTCAATTCTCAAAAAAAAAATGCAAGAAGAAATATTATACAAATGGAATTATGATGATTTTAAAGATAAAAAATTTAAAATACCAAAATTAAATATGCCATGGGATTATAAGTTCAGTCCATATTTTGAAGAAATATCATTAGAAAATAGAGAATGGATAAAAGGAACTAAACTTATATCAGAAGAATCTGATTTTGAAAAATTTGTTTACTTGAAGACAATTTTAATGAATTCTTATTTATATCCCCATTGTAATAAAGAAGTTTTTAGATATGTATGTATTAAATAAAAAATATTAATATAATAAAATTAGTATTATTAATTATTATTAATATATTCTATCAGATTAATAGATTAAATGAATATATTTATATCGTTGATGATTTTTATTTAGAAGATAATGTAAAGGGTCAAGAATGGGTGGATGAATTATTTGATAGAAATTCTAAATTTGTTAAAGAGAACTACATTGGCTCGATAATGTGGGAAATTTTTGATGATATTATATCCGTTGGGAATGATGGAGCTACTGACTATCTAATTAAAAAAACACATGAATGGATGGATTCAGTAATACTATTCAATAGTAAAAAAGTAAATTCCAAATTTACCTTTGAAGAATATACAAATAGTCGTGGAGTAGATGTTGGTATGATTTTTGGTTTGGCTTGCACTAAAGTTCATATTCCTCCATTATGCGACGAGATTGAAAATCACCCAGTTTATATAGATATGCTTGCAAACTACTATAACCCAATTCATTTATTAATAAATGATATCTATTCCTTCAACAAAGAAACAAAATCAGTAAGATTAGGAAATTATGTAAAGATTGCAGCATACCAATTGGGTTCTATACAATTAGCAATGGATCATTTATCAAAACTATTTGATGAATATATTGGAAAAATTCAAGAAAAGTTTGCAGAGTTAGAAAAGATCTTCCCAAATAATAAAGACCTTGAAACCCATCTATATATAATTAAAACAATTATTGCTTGTAACTTTAATTGCTCCACAAATCCAAACTATCCACGTTATTATGGTGAAGTTTTAGAAGCTGAATTAAAGATTATTAATGAATAAAACAATCAATCCAATCAAACCTATCATAAGATAATAAAAACAAATTAAAAAAACAAAATAAATAAATAAATAAATAAATAAATAAATAAATAAATAAATAATTAACTTTTATTTTTTGTTACAATTATTATTACTATTGTTTACACTTGAAGTTAGAGTTGGGGTTAATGGAGGTGTAGTGCTTCCATTATTACTATTACTATTATTATTATTAGTTGGATTACCTGTATCAGTTTCAAACATTTTAACTTTATCTTTAACTAATGGATTCATACTGTTTAATAATTCCTCGTCATATGGTTTTTTTTCTATATTTGCATTATTTAAAACTGAATCACCTGAACTTGAAAGAGTTGCAAATCTTTTCATTACGGATGGTGAAGCTCTACCTGTAGGATTTGTGTTTGGCGAAGTTGATAATACATTATCATCGACTACTGGTTTAACAAATGTTGAAGATTTTCTTAATATTGAAACTGGGCTTTGGGTCTGTGATTCTATTGAAGTACTTGAGCTTGGTGATGATGATAATTTTACATTAGTTGATAAGGTGGATGGTGATGGTGATGGTGATGGTGATGAAGATGGTGATGCAGTGCTAACGCCATTACTATTTTTAAATGAAGTTTGTCTTGAAAGCATTGGTACTGATTTTTTATCACCTGATACTTGTTTGGATGAAGGTTGGAATGAGCTATTAGATTGTTGTGAATGCTGTTGGGTCTGTGACTGCTGTTGTTGTTTCTTTAATTCCTCTAAACTTGAAATAATAGGAGAGAGTGATTGCTGAAGTTGTTGTTGGAAATTAAGATTGATAAGGGCCAATTCTTTACCAAGTTTAGAGACTATTGAATTTTCTAGAGCTTTAACATCCTCTCTAATGTCTTGAATTAATGTTTTGTTTGAACTATCTATATATGAGACCAACTTTGATTCTAATGCTTTGAAATCAGTTTGAACATTGAATAATGAAGAGTTACTATTTGATAATGTTGGTGGTAAAAGGGGTAAAGATTTTGATGGTGGAGTATGAAGACCACTATTACTGTTATTAGAGCTAGATTTTGGTAATTTTTTTTGTTTGGATGGTTTCTTTTTCTTTCTAACCATGGTACCAGAAGCAGAAATCTCTTCATCATCGTCATCCTCTTCCTCCTCATCATCTTCATCTTCATCCTCATCTTCATCATCTTCCTCTGTAACAACTGGTATACCTTTTGGACCATGGAAAACAGTAGTAGAAAATGGATCAACATCTTCATCCTCTTCGTCATCTTCATGGACATCTTCGGTATTTTTTTCTTCATCATCATCAAATTCGTTACAAGTGGTGTAATTTCCTTTAAAATTGAATGTTCCAATGTTAACAGTGGCTAATTTAACACTACTAGGATCGATTGGAATATAAGAGTCATTACCCAAACCATTAGTTTCAGTTGAATTATCGACATCACTATTACTATTAGCTGTGGAGTTTACTGTTGAATGTTTTTGTTGTTTCTTTAATTCATCATGCTTCTTCTTCTTTATTCTAAATAATTGATTAACTAAATCACCTAAAACTTCTGGACTTCTTTCTTTTCTTAAGAATGGGTGGCAAAGTAAATCGATTGGAGATGATCTTTTCTCTGGATCTTTATTTAAACAACGAGCCAAGAAATCATTTAACAATGGTGACCATTTCTTTGGTTCTAAAAATGTTGGTGGTGGCCAAATTGGTACCATCTTCATAGCCCTCATTGGGTTCATATCCATATGTGGTGGTAATCCATCTGCCATTTCAATAATTGTTATACCTAAAGACCAAACATCAGCTTTATAATCATAATTCTTTTTTAAAATAACCTCTGGTGCCATCCATAATGCTAATAAAATTTGAAAAAAAAATATAAATATTAATATATATTTTTATAAGCTATCATTATATTAAAATTAATTTTATACTTACGAGTACCAATCATTTCTTTTGATTGACTTGCTCCATTTAATTTTTCACTAACACCAAAATCTATAAATAAGAAATATATTAATAAATTAATTTTAAATAATATATTAAATATTATATATTAAAAACTTACCAGCAATTTTAACTTGACAATCCTCGCCCAATAAAATATTTGCAGCTTTTACATCTCTATGTACAATATTTTGCTTATGTAAATAAATTAAACCTTTAAGAGTATTTTTTACAACAAAAGAAATTTGAGATTCATTTAAAGTTTTTTCAGTTGATTCGATGATATCACGAATGGAACCTAAAGCACAGAAATCCATTAAAATCCATACATTGTCTTCATGTTGAAGTGAACCATAGTAAGATACTACATTTGGAGATTTACAATTCTTTAAAATATTGATTTCATTTTGTAATGATTGGGATTCTGATTCCTTCATTTCGATAACCTTAATAGCCAATGTAAAACCTAAATCCTTATGGGTACCCTTGTATACTGAACCATAAGCACCATCACCCAATTTTTCATCCAATTTAAAATCGTTGTGACCAGTCCACTTTAAATCGAAATCGACATGCATTTTGTGAATAACATTATAAGGTATACTAATTTCGGTGTTTATATCAAATGTTGATTTTGTCTTTTTATGTGATTTCTTATGAGATTTCTTATCTGAAGATGAGGCAGATAGATTAGTTGATGTAGAAGATGGTGATAATGAACCATTGCCATGGCTTTCATTAGTTGCAGTTGCTGCAGGATCTACTGAATGCTTATGTGATTTAAATATATCTGGTTTTTTTAAAAACTTTTTCTTTTTCTTTTCTTTTTCAATAGTTGGTGTATTATTTGCACTTGTAGATGGATTGCTAATACTTCCTCTTGGTGAAATTAAACCTGGTGAAGATTCACAACTTGCAGAGTTTGCATTCTCTTGATTTGGTAAATGAGTTGGTGTGTTTGGTAATGATGTAATTGAATTTAATAATTTTGGTGATGATATAAATTGTGCTAATTTACGGGTTAACTTTTTATTGTTTGGTGTTGTGTTTGTTGATGTTGTTAAATCTGCAGTTGTACTGCTACCAACCAATGTACCGCTATCAGATGCTCCAACAAGATTAATATCAGTAAATTCACTTGACATCGATGTTGATAATGAATCCATCTCGGCTGAATCATCTGTAGTATTCATTGAAATATTACTTGAATGACGTTGTAAATTTTGATTATTGATTGGTTGATTATCATTGCTAGCACTACCACTTGAACTATTGGAAATAATTGAAATTGAACTTTCAGTTCTCATGACTGGGTTGTGGCCATTATTATTACTACTATCTTCAAATGATTCATTATCTGATAATGTAGTACTATTTGCCCTATTTGAGTTTTTTGGTGGTACTGGAGGTGTGTAATTGGGTGGATGACTATTAGGCTCGCCACTATTATCTATTAAACTATCACTACTATCACCACTAATACTCTTATTAATAGTTACTTTTGGGGGTGATGGTGGTGAATGATTTGGTGGGTGGCTTTGTGAATTAGTACTGCTACTGACACCAACACTACTACTACTGTTATTAAGATCCTTTGATAAATGTATTTGATTTAATAGATTTTGTGTAGATGGTGATTTCATAACTTTTTGCAATAAACTTTCTTTACTTCCATTGCCACTATTATTGATTGGTGTTGGTTGTGACATGTTTTGATATTATTAAAATATTTTAAAATTTTACTACATAAAAAATTAATTTTATATATTTTATTTTTATTTGTTATTTTTATTTGTTATATATAAACCCACACAAAATACAAAAATAGATTATTTATTTATTTATTATTATAATTTATAAAAAACTATAAACCATTAACAAAATACTGTTTAGCTATATTATTAGTTCTACTGCGAATATACGTAATATAAAATATTTGTTTGTTGGTTATAAATTTTTTGATTCTGTTTACAATAATTTTTTCTTTTTTTTTTTTTTTTATAAAAAGTGCAATAATTTTTTTTTATAATTTTCATTTTTATTATTTGAAAAGAAATAATTTTGAAAAAAATATCTATTTTTTTTTTTTTTTTTTTTTTTTAATTTTTTTTAATTTTTATAAATAAATAAAATTGGATTTAAATCTCCTCATTTAATCACAAAAATTCAAAAACACATTTTGATATTATATATATACACAAAAAATAGACAGGTTTAGAAAAAAAGGAATCTGAATGAATATTTTTTTTTAAAAAAAAAACAATACCATGCACAAAACCAAATGTATGTGTGGGGAAAAATGTGGGTAAACTCTAATTATCAATCGACTTTTCTTTTTTTATTAAATAGGTTATCTATATTTATATTTGGGTTTAATTTTAAGTATTGTACATTGTAATCTTCATCGCTTGAGGCGCTGCTACCACCTTTTTTATCTTTTGATGATAATGAAGTTGATAGATTTTCGACTTGATTAATATAAATTTGCTCTATCTTGTTTAAAAATAAACTAATGTCTTTATGTTGTCTGAAAATTATTTTTTGTAAAATTGAAATCAACCAATAATAATAGTCAAGTCCATTTGCATTACTATTTTTTATATTTACATTTTTATTACTGCTGCTTGTTGTTGTAGTACTATTATTATTTAAAATTTCTATATTGATATTTTGGGCTGTTGGAACTGGTTTTGATAATTTAACCTTTGGTATTATTACTGTTTTTTTAACTTTTTTTCTTTTTAATGTGTCTGATTGGTAACGATTATTTAATAAATTTAAATTTGAAGTTTGATTAGAGTTATTTAAATTTAGACTATTGATTGATTTTTTGATTATCATTGTTTTCTTTTGGTATCTTTCTGAAAGACCATCGTATTTCTCGTGGATTTGATCAGTGATTAATCTTTTTAGGCTGGTTGGTTTTGATTTTGGATGTCCTTTAAAATCTTCAATATTTAAACTCCAGGTATCTTGTTTTGAAATAAATTGATTCTTTGGTAAATTAAACATAACATCATATAACCAGTTTTCGATTTCAATCTTTTCCAAGTCCTGCTTAATATACTTTCTTTTTTGATTTTCCTCAACTTCATTTTCAGTTTCCGAATCGCTATCATTTTCCTCTAGACTCTCACTATTGTTTTGATAATCTTGGTTACTCTTAAAATATCTGCTATTCTTTTTCTTTAATAATGTTTCTAAAAACTCTATATCCTTTAAACTATGTACATTTGAATGTAATCCACTGCCATCATCTGACTCCATATTATATTGATTATCAAACAAGTTTAATTTACTCTTTAATACAATCATAATGATCGATGCACATAATAAATCTGAATTTGTTGGTAACAATATCTTTTCATAAACATGATTTAAATGTGAAGATGGTTTTCTCTTTTGATAAACTTTAAATGGAACTGATATAATATTATACAATTGATTTGATAAATTTAAAATAAATTCTAAAAAAATTTTAATTAGTATTTGGTGAAGATAAAAAGAAAAAAAAGCTATTATACATACTTGGTAATCTTAATTCGTTACAAAATCGTAATAGAATTAAAGGAACATTAACACTTGGTAAAAAGTTTAAATACTTTGATAAATCTATACATATCTTTTCAAAATTTGAAAAAATAGACATTGAATTGGACCAAGAGAATCTCCATGTAGTTTCATTTGTAAATGTTGGTATCTTTCCACTCTGTGCCAATGCCAATATATCGCCCATTATAATTGGTTCCTTGAGATACACACATGACAAGTAACATATAGCCAATGTTAAGTAAGGTGGGGGATAATTAATAATACCAAATGGAATTTCGCCATCGCTTTCATTTGAAATACTAGTAAACTTATCTAATAACTTGAACCATAATTCTCCAGATACCTGATATAGCTTTTCATTATAACCTTGATCCTTGATTAAAGCTGTAACTTGAATCTTTAATAAATTTTGTAATATATAGTATCTGTTGTTTTTTTGTGAATATTTTTTCCTATTCATAGCATCCAATAACTCTTGGGTCATAACTCTTTTATATGAACCTGCTTTATATCCACCACCACTTTCAAATTGCTCGACTTCTTGGGTGAAATAACCCTCAACACGTGTGTGGCAAATATCGCATTCTAAAAACCCAAATTCATCTTTGCTAAATGATAAACCTGCACATTGAATACATGGAAGTTGTGAAGTGGATGATTGTTGAGAAAAATAATCCATCTCTTAAAACTATTTAATATAGTTTTATATCTATTAATAAATTAATATATAGATATAATAAAACAAATATTTAATATTATGAAGGTGTGGTTATTATTTAAATGGTTTTCTCGGTAAAAAAAAATTTTAAAAAATTAAAAAAAAAAAAAATTTTAAAAAATTAATTTAAAAATAAAATTAAAAAAAAAACGAAAATGGATTACAATTATCCAAATGTTAATTTTAACAGTAAGCGAAAATATATACAAGAGGTTATTTTGTTCATAATTATTTTTAGGATTGTATTATAAATAAATTATAATAAAAAAAGAAATAAACTCAAAAGTACATATATAAAAAATTAGGATTTTTTTTATACAATTTTATAGTTTTAAATAAATCACAACAAAAGAGAAATTTCATTTTCTAAAATTGGTCATCAATGATTTGATTTAATTTCTTTCGTGCATTTTAGGTAAATAAATTTAATTTTTTATTTATTTTTTAAATATTTAAAAAAAAAAAATATCTATTTTATTTTTTTTTTAATTTTTTTTTTTATTAGCGGATTACTCAAATTTCCCAAATGACCAGTAAAATTGTATGGTGAATTGCAGGCGCACGAAGAAAGTATTACAATGTCAATATCAAAC